AATTGTCTAGGTTAACACTGATTTGGTAGACAATGATCAGCAGGGCGGTCTCACAGCTCCGTCTAGGGCGAATCCGTGTTGCGCTGGAGGTAGGAGGGCGTGAGCGTTTAGGTACTTTTGTAGGACAGAGTTCAGCACTCGTTCCATGGTACGGCAGACGACTGATGTTGTGGAAATTGGCCTGTAGGACTCTGGTTTGTCAGTTGGGGTTCCATTTTTCTTTGTAGATTTGGGTGACATGGGCCCGTTTCCAAATGGAAGGGACACACCCGGTGCCTAGGGGCTGCTGGAACAGTCAAGCCATAATGGTGCTAGTTGGTGGCCACTTTCCTTCAGTAGCGCAGGATGGATCTCATCAGGGCTAGTTTATTTTGAGGTCTTAATCGGTTGAGAGCCTCTTTGACGTTTTTTTTCGGTGAAGAGGATATTGGACAGGAAGAGGTGGGTGACCAGCAGCAATGATAATGGGTAGGAGTCATGGTGTGACCGGGCAGGGCTGGTTGTCGTCCATATTGTAGCGAAGTGGTTGCTGAATAGCTCTGCAGTTTCCAGGTCATTGAGAACTTTACCTTACTGGCATAGTAGTAGTAATAGTAGTAATATTTATTCACAGGAAATATATACAAAAACAGTGATCTGGCCCACAAAAGCAGGGGTGTGCTTGTGTGTGGGGCCAGGCAAACGACGGAACGCATCGACATGAGGAAATAGGAATCAAATCGCACAACAGAAAAAAGGCACTTAGAAGTTATGCAGTTAGACATATTACAATTAATTCATTAAAGAATGACACCAGGTTTTAAGTTTGAATTTTTTTTTTTAAGGATGTCATAGCTATTAAAAATTGAGGAAGTCTATTAAATAATGTTGGAATATAATGATTTCTTGTTCTTTTTCCGTAGTGGGTGTATACTTTCGGGACAACATATCTTTCTGTATGTCTTAAGACTCTGGTTTTGGCCACTTTATTCTTAAAAGTCTTATTAAAAAGTTTTGCGTGATTGTAGCAAAGATATGAAATTTTTAAAAAAATAAAATACCCAGCTTTGCCACCTTTTCCTCCATTTCTAATGTTTCATACCCAGTTCCATAGGTGATATGGTTCACAACCTGTTTTAATACCCGATCTATCGCAGTCATTTTAGAACGAGAACAATGACCATATACAGTGATACCGTAACGCAACGTCGATTCTACTAGTGATCTGAAAACTAACAATCTTATTCTTAAAGAGCTGACAAATTTTAATTTATACATGTTGGCAGATATTACACGCAAACGTTTTATTATGTAATCTATTTGTTCATTCCACAACATGTGCTCGTCGAAATAGATGCCTAGGTATTTAACAGACCTGCTATACGGCAGAGGCAAACAGTTGCAATTATGACAATGAGCTGTATGAAGGAGAATACATGGAGACAACTGAACACGTTTATGCGGATTACGGAAACAGACAAGCTTAGTCTTAGGAACATTCACAGAAATCATGTTAACAGCAAACCAAAGCAATAATATGTTCAAGGCAGACGTTTTCTTCTTCTTGCATCTTACGTAAGCCCAAGACATCTTTGCTTCCTTCATGACCCACTGTGCCAATTCCAAAGCAATAGTCCCAGTGCGACTGTCTTATGCGTTTCTTAAGGTCTCTCTGCAGTGTGCGGGCTGCGTCGAGTGTAGCGGTAGAGTAGTTTTGTTTCAATTGTGAAAACAGTTGACGCTTTCTACAAGCTTAGAGCAGTACATCCTTCGTTATTCATGGCGATCCGGGTTTGTTGTAGCTTAAATCGGAGGGGACGCATTGAGCTTTGATGGCCTGCATAAAGTCGAGCCATGTGTTGTACGAGACTTCTGGGTTATCTTGGAACACCATGCCCCAAGGGCGAGGTTTATACGCGAATTGAGGGGGTTACTACCTAATCTTGCGAAGTGATGGAGGTGTCTGGTGTGGGTTTCGGATTTAGGCAAAATATGGTGCGTATTTGTGATTACCGCTTGGTGGTCGGATCCTGTGAGGCCTTGATCTGTGAAACAATTTGAGATAAGTCTGGGGTTAGACAAAAATATGAGGCCGAGGTAGGCAACTTGGTTTTTGCTGGTACTGTAGCTTGGTTTGTTTCACATTGGGTTGAGTCCAAGTGTCTCCACGTTTTCGAGAAAGAGAGAATCAGTTGGCTTTGTGGGTATACAGGTGTACGTGCATCTGACCGGTTATTGTGAGCACTGAAATCTCCAACTTCCAGCACATTGGTTTACATGTTTCTTGAGAGGGTGACGGAGGACAGAAATGACTAATAAGTCATAGCTTTCTGCTTTTATGCTTGGTGGCCAGTATACGACACATAGAAGTTCTTCTGTTGTATGGAGCTCCATAAAAACGGCATCAAATCCATTTTGGCCTAAGTCATGTCTTTTAGTGCACTTATTTAATGAAGGTATGGCGACAAGTACTCCATCCCCAGCTCAGTTACGGTCTTGTCGTTAGATATTGAACCGTGTCAGCTCAACAAGCTGACTGTAATAAATAGAGCTGTTCAACATAGTCTCACATACAGCGAATATGGTGGTGGGGCAGGGACCAGTGAGCACACGGAATTCGTGCATTTTGTTTTTGACGGATCTGAAGTTAGAAAACCAGATAGATGTTGGTATTTGTTTTATCCTAGCGGAAGCTGTCTTTGGTCTATCCCCGGCGGTGATAATTGGTGCAGTGGACGCTGGCGTAGGCTGATCTTGAGCGTCAAACAGGTTGTCGTTGAACGACGGCAGCTGGCAAGCGCCAATAGGCCGGCAGTGAGAGTTGCTGAAATATCCGGTGGAGCCGGACGTTTCACCCATCAAATGTAGAGCGGCCACAATATCGTAGACTGGTTTGCAGCAGCGAGGACAGGTAGGGCGAGGTCATGAGTTGAGTGGTACGTCGCCGGCACATAACAGGGTCATGTAAACATGAGGTTGAAGAACGCAACGGCTGACAAACGTTTGAGACCTGGTTGACGACCGACCGGATCGGGTAAGCTTTGTAGGTTATCCACGTCCGCGTGTGAGCGCCGCACTTCATTCTGGACAATAGAAATTTGCCTGAAGATTGGCGTACTGTGTCGGGGGGTGCTTGCATGGAAAGGGCGCTGTGGGGGAAAAACACTGAAGCGTGGAAACGGCGAACCAAAGCATAATAAAGCGCATGCACTTAAGAACGTGTTTTCTCACCACCGCCATCGTGATGGTCACACTGCAGCAGCCGCGAGGACAGGTAGGGCGAGGTCACGAGTTGAGTGGTACGTCGCCGGCACATAAGAGGATCATGTAAACATGAGGTTGAAGGACGCAACGGCTGACAAACGTTTGAGACCTGGTTGACGACCGACCGGATCGGGTAAGCTTTGTAGGTTATCCACGTCCGCGTGTGAGCGCCGCACTTCATTCTGGACAATCGAAATTTGCCTGAAGATTGGCGTACTGTATCGGGGGGTGCTTGCATGGAAAGGGCGCTGTGGGGGAAAAACACTGAAGCGTGGAAACGGCGAACCAAAGCATAATAAAGCGCATGCACTTAAGAACGTGTTTTCTCACCACCGCCATCGTGATGGTCACACTGCAGCAGCCGCGAGGACAGGTAGGGCGAGGTCACGAGTTGAGTAATACGTCGCCGGCACATAAGAGGATCATGTAAACATGAGGTTGAAGAACGCAACGGCTGACAAATGTTTGAGACCTGGTTGACGACCGACCGGATCGGGTAAGCTTTGTAGGTTATCCACGTCCGCGTGTGAGCGCCGCACTTCATTCTGGACAATCGAAATTTGCCTGAAGATTGGCGTACTGTGTCGGGGGGTGCTTGCATGGAAAGGGCGCTGTGGGGGAAAAACACTGAAGCGTGGAAACGGCGAACCAAAGTATAATAAAGCGCATGCACTTAAGAACATGTTTTCTCACCACCGCCATCATGATGGTCACACTGTAGCAGCCGCGAGGACAGGTAGGGCGAGGTCACGAGTTGAGTGGTACGTCGCCGGCACATAAGAGGATCATGTAAACATGAGGTTGAAGAACGCAACGGCTGACAAACGTTTGAGACCTGGTTGACGACCGACCGGATCGGGTAAGCTTTGTAGGTTATCCACGTCCGCGTGTGAACGCCGCACTTCATTCTGAACAATCGAAATTTGCCTGAAGATTGGCGTACTGTGTCGGGGGGTGCTTGCATGGAAAGGGCGCTGTGGGGGAAAAACACTGAAGCGTGGAAACGGCGAACCAAAGCATAATAAAGCGCATGCACTTAAGAACGTGTTTTCTCACCCTCGCTATTGTGATGGGTACACTGCTTGAACATCGTTCAAAATAAGACGCTTTACAGCAGCTGTGCATGGGCGCCGCCATTACTGACCTTCAGTTTTTGTTCCCTCTTATTCCGTTCGCTCCACTTCATCATTACCACAGCAGGACAGGTTATTGCCCTTTTAGATTCTACTGTGTTCTTGCGCCCAGCATAGGCCCTTGTGAAGGCCCGTCAACTCCCGCTTCAGTGGCTCGGCATCTCGGTAAGACAAGAGAAGGGCGGCTATGGCGGCTCAATCTGGCGCGTGTGTAAAGCGTCTATAGACAGCATACAGATTTGAACGCGAGTCACCTCGAGGTCCGTGCTTCGGATGCCGCATGGCAGCGAGTTCAGGGAGAAGCTTGGCACGCCGCATTCGAACCACGGATACCGCGGTGACTGATGTCTGGCAGACTGCCTTCTGTTTGACGTAATAAAGAGTGTGACCCCGCCTAAAAACAAACACATGCACAAAGAGTTAAAAGTAAAGTTACGGCGCACCTTCTCCGCTTAATTGGAGGAACCGGCGTATGGGCACGCATTAAAAGAAGCTGAACGTCATTGCGTTGTGCTTACAGTGCTACCTGAGTGGCTCGTTGGTTCCTACCACTGGCTAGCAGAATATAGCTAAAAATAAATGAAAAATGAAATGACGTCCATTTGTGGCCGTAATTTTTCTTACCCGGCAGGGACTTGGCAACGTCCGCAACTCTGTCCAAGTTCCTTCCAGCCACGATGACTCGGCAGCCTTCCTTGGCGAAAGCGAGACACACACATCTGCCGATTCCCCCGCCGCCTCCGACTACGAGAGCGACTCGTTCCTCGAAGAAGCTCGGAGCGCTGGACATGGCTTTCAGGAGAATTTTAGAGGCAGAGGGTGCAGCAAAGGTGTAACTTCTGAAGAATGTCACATGTGTCGGAATCATCCCTGTATAAGTATAACTAGGTCATGTGATTTTACGCCAACATTTAAATCACAGGTGCGCGCTAGATGTACATGCAGAACGGTAAAAATTTCAGAAACAAACAAAAAAGACGACACTTTTTGTTTCGTTTTTTTATTTATTCGCAACAATCTGTAGGGCTTACTCTTTTATCTTATGGGTGGTATGTTAGTTGCAAGAAAAAAGTCTCAAAGTTCTATATAAAGCGAGCAAGTTATCCTGCCAATTGCGGTCGTATCTTAGTCTTTTCCGCTTTTTAGGACCCTAGACTAGCACAAAACACTTATTTTGGCCCGACGAACTGTGCTACCTGGGTATTTATATATAATATGAATATTGGAGTTCATAAATATAATAAAGTGTTCATAAAATGCTAATATTAAACAGCCTCTAAATAATATTTCGGTACGGGTGGAGTAAAGACAGATGCAGTAACGGCCAGTTGAATAATATTATTTCAAGTCGCGCCACCCGGCCCCGTCTCAAGCTTACATTAGGGTAGTGCGCATCAGGTTCGGTGTCAATGTCATTTGCCTCGTCACAGTGTGAAAAATAATTTCACTTTCTCATTTTTCAGTATTGACCCTTTTAACGATAAAGAAAAAAATCATCACCACGGCCTTTTTTTTAGTTGAGTTTGTAAGGAAGTGATAATATTTCCATACTCGTAGCAGCCATCGGTGTCACTGCAGTTGTAAGTCAATTTCTATTGATTATGTAAGGTAAAGCATATAGTCAACGGTAATCTATTTCAGGAATGCACGTGGTCCAAATTATTTTCTTGAGAAAACGTGTTTATGTGACACCCTACATTTGTTAGGTTTTAGGATATCGACGCTGATTTACCTTAGATTATGACTCCCTACACATGTTTCCCCCGACGAGACTATGGGTTGTCGGAATGGTTCGACTATATTTTGTTTTACAGCCACCTCGGTGGCTTTAACTGGCAATGATATTAAAACAAAAGACAACACATTAAAGTGTCTCAATGGCTCTGAACCAACGCGCTGGCATATAAATTCCTAATTCGGGTGTTTGAATACCGGCAGGGGTGCCAGCCAATCTGACGGGCATCATAAGATCTCCAATTGACCTATTGCCAAATACACCGATCTCACCAGCCAATTTGACTACGCCGCCGCTGCCGGAATGGATTGAGGGAACTTCAGTCTTTTTGCAGGCAGAGTGGCCAGGCGAGGGACAGTCTCTTCGACAATTCTTCGCGCGCGGGCCGGGGCGCTTGGGGGATTTTTCAAAAGGTCTATTGACCAACCAGCGGAGCAAAAGGCCCCTGACTTCCATCTGCAAATACCTTGTTTGAGGACTATCTAGGAAGTAATTTTTCAGCCTGAAAATTTTTTTGCGGACTACTGAAGAAAAACGTATTTTTTGAGCCGAAATTGACCTCTGTCAGCTAGAGTCTGGCGTCAATGAAGGCAACGTGTGCGTTATTTCGTTTACATGCCACTACTAGAAGCTCGTTACATGGCACGTAAACAGCATCTCGGTAAGGATCATGGCCCGGGCCCGGGGGAAGCACGAGCCACGATGCCCCCCCCCCCCCCCCCCCCCCCCCCCCCCCAAAGTCTACGCCTATGAGCTCAGACATGGCCAAGGGACAGGCTATAGGGAGAAGGGAGCGGTGGCAAAGTGGGACCGTTGCCGGGAGCTTCTTGAAGTGGAAGACGGTCAAGACGCCGAGATGAGCATACGCAAGGCACTCCGAGAAGGCAAGACGAGATATTGGTAAAGACCGATTCCCCCACCCCTGACAATCACGTACTCAATCTCTGGGCTAGCCGGCTACAAGCGCTCCAGAGATACGGTAAAAAGAAAACACTACGGAACAAAATCAAGCTAAACCATGCGACGCTTGGAAAGGCATGGCGAACTTACCGGGGCCTCAACGGAAGGAAGCGCAGGACGAGAAATGCGGCACAGAACCTCGCCCTTAAGCTAAACATAAGCGAGGAGGAGTTAGCAATCAAGGCCGGTGAACTTTTTTCCCCGAGGACGGAGCACCGACGACCCCCGGAGCAACAGCCGAGGACTTGGCCATGCCACTAAAAGCTGGGATGGAAAATCGGGGGGGGGGGGGGGGGGGGGGGGGGGGGGCTAAGCTCGCCTCCGGCGGGAATCTCTCCGATGCCAGGTCACGAGGGAGGGGAGCTTCTTTTGACTCCGCCCCGGCGAGTTTCCCAGTCCCCCTCTTACATTTCCGACCTCCCCGGCGGCGGCGAGTTCCCCAGCGTAGCTCCGATTTTTCCCTACGCTCCGCAGTGAAGGTTTTTTATTTTATCTAAGGGGGCCATGAAACGAATTTTGGGTTGGGATGAATGATTTTAAATTGGGACTTTACTAATCGTATATCGTTTAGTTGGCCAAAAGAAAGAGGCTAGGAAGTCAAAAGCCAGCTTTTCGGTACGAACTTTTGAAAATATAGCGGACTATTTTGTACCTTCTTGCCTTCGAAAGGTGTCCGCCTTTTCACTATGTACATCCGCTGTTCCAAAAGCGCGTCACCGGCGCCAAACTGACGTCAGCAGAGCCCAGCTCACGCATTGGACACGAGAACTGCGTCACTCGGACGTATGTGCTCGTCAACAATCAATCCGTCGACGAATATTTGGATTTGCGTTTGTGGCCAATGAGTGCCCTGACGGAACGTATTGTCACTGGGGAATGACAAGTACTATGGTGTGCATAAAAACCAAGGTGGAACCTAGGGCTCATCGCACCGGTGCCGAAGGAATGTCACGACGACGTAATTTCACAATTCGCATTTGAGTTGAGGATTAAAGCTAAGGAGGAAGAAGTAGGAAAATCGTTTCATGACCCCTTTAAATCGGGGGATCGGTGGCCGGCTGGGCTAGCGCACACCAGCTCGGAGCACGTCTAGCGAAAGGTCCGTTGCAGAACCCAGGATGCTGGGTTCAATCCACACCCCTGCCCGTTTTGATGTTAATGAGCATCGTACCGGCGTGCAGTCGTGTAACACTACTGCGGGATGGACGTTAAAGACCCCAGGCTAGCGGTTGTACGGCACTGCATGGCTAAATTTCTCATCTACAGCTGGGAGAATCTCCCCCGTTGAGGCAGACCAAGTTTTAGGCAGTATCAACATACATACAGCCCAATGTTTTTTATTTAAATCGTAAATGTCAAATAAGAATAGGTAACAGCAGGGATGCTAATTATACAAACATTGCTTGGATGTGGGCTAGTTGACTAGACATTGTGATGGTTTGCTGGCGCCACGTAGATGCAAGAAAAACGCTCTTGATAAATATATAAACTAAAGCAGAGTATAGACGAAAAACAACATACAGGAATGGCGCAGACTAACAACTGTATAATTTCTTTCTCATCTTTCTCCCCCCACACCGCCACACAGCCACAATATATATATATATATTTTTTTTTTTGTTTTTCAGAATAGGGTGCACGTGGAGCGAAAGCTCGCGCTGCAGAACCCAGGATCGTGGATTCACCCCCACCCCTGCCCTTTTCGATGTTGATGAGCATCGAACCGGCATGCGGTCGTGTATCACTACTACGTGGTGCACGTTAAAGACCCTAGGCTAGCAGTCATACTGCACTGGCTAAATTGCTTATCTACAGTAGGTGACAATGTTCTGGCATGTTCTCCTGCTGTATAAACAACTAACGGCCAATTTGTTTGTCAAAATACGGTGTGGAAGAAGAAAGATGTGAAAGAAATTACACAGTTGTTAGTCTGCGCCATTCATGTATATTGCTTTTCTTCTATCATCTGTTTTAGTTTGAATTTTATCAAGTGCGTTTATCTTGCATCTACGCAGCACAGCAACCCATCAAAATAATTGTAAAAGCCTGTAGGTAATGGTAAATTGCGTTCCTGGTTGCAGATTGCCGTAAAAACACATTTGTTTCTAGTATTCACTTTGTAGAATTTGGATGTAGGATTCACGACGGGGGCGACGGTTCATTCACGGCTCCATCGCCTCAAGCCCCGTTCGCCACGCAGTTCATCGCACAGCCACCTTACCACGTCTTTCGAGAGGCGATAGTGTTGTTGAAAATGATTGTAGTCCATGTCCAACACATTGGCGTGGTTTAAATACTTATGCCGACGGCAAAACACGAACGAAAACGCTGCCATTTTGGACGCTTCTCCCTGATCTCGCGCCCAACTCGCCCAAACTCGCCTAGGTCGGAACCGGCAAGCTTTTCCCATCCGTGGCGGCTTCTGCCACGTCACAATGACGTCACCGCATCTCGCCGCGAGTTCCGAATATGCAACTCTCCGACTGCCTCAAACCCTCCGTTTAACGTCACGATCTAGGTAGTGTCGGCGCGTGTCGTCATGCACGGCGCCGACCAATCGCGGCGGTCGGCGAGTTTGGCGGAGAACTCGCCTCGATCTCGCCGCGCCGAGCTCAGCCCCCTGCAGCTTGGCATGGGAGAACTCATAGACGCGCTCTTCACAACAAAGACCAACAGCGCCCCCGGCCCGGACAGGGTCACTTATCAAGCACTCAGAAATCTTCCGGAAGAAGCCAAGAAAAGACTCCTGGACAAATACAATTAGTCAATTAGTCAACGCGGAGCAAATACTCCTTGCCTCGCAGCTGAAACCAGTCCAGCCCAACCTTTTGCCTTGGCAGAGATGGCGTCACCGTTGGCATGAGAGGCTCGGCGTTTTGTTGACGTAGCTTCGTGCATACAACACAGTTATTGACAACCCTTCTCAGCTCGGACGACAGGCCTGGCCACCAGACAGCTTCTTTCGCGCGCTGCCTGCACCGTCCGATTCCCTGGTGTCCCTCGTGCAGTAGTTTCAGCATCTCCTTCCTTAGGGAGTCAGGAATAAGGTTGCGGGTTCCATAGAGCAGAAAGCCTTCGCAGTGGGACAGGCTTCCTCTGTACTACCAAAAGGGCGACACGTCGAGAGGAAGTCTTGACTTTGATGGCCATCCGTTCATACAGTACTCCCGAAG